TCTCAATAACTTTTTAACGGTTTAGTGAATCGATTTGTAATTTTTACAGGAGTTTTAGAATTGAATGGGGAACGTTCTTCCAAATTTTTATTTGTCTAGTAGCATTTTGGCATACCTCCCAAACATCTTTAAGGTCAGATGCCCGGTTATTCGGAACCCGATAAAACCACTGTCAGTTGGATCTCTAATCATAATAATACCTACTCGGTACAGACGAATAGACAGTTATCCAAAAAGTGCTCTTATTACGTAGTTGACTATAGAATCTTAAAAAGAAATGATGATGCAATTTTCGAAAACTGTGTGGTTTTCCTTGAGCAGAAGTTATTTCAAAAGAATACATAAAGCCTCTGCCTCTGCATTGTTATATCAGTATTACAGAATCGTAAAAAGTTCGTTCTTGGGATGTCCCCGCATTTGAATGGGTTAATAAAATTGTAAATATCAAACCGAAAAATCATCCGTTTACGGCCCTCCTAGTTTGCTGATATTTTAAGCGATAAAAGCTCCTTGTGAATGAGCCAGGACCTAACAAAAGTTAGCGGCATAATTCTCAGAATATTGGGTATAAAATATCTGTTAATATCATCGAGTCCAATAAAAGTGCCCGCAATTATAATATTATTGATTATCCTTGGTGTGCGAGCTTTTCAGAGGTTTCGACCAATATAAAAAGTGAAATAATTCAGAAGAAAATTATCGTAATGAACACGCCACATTGCAGCAATAAGACCAGAAATTTTGGATGGTTGTACCTCTTGCATTTTAATTGTTCAAATATTTTGTGATTAGCCTCTGTAGCCACTTGCACTGTTCAGTTAACAAGCGAAAACATTAAAATAGCTCGTTCTTGCTCCGTTCAACCAGGGTTGCCAGATAATTTTTATTTTATTCCTTAGACTTTTTACCGATATTTCCCCAGATTTCCCTAACAACCTGACTGATTCATACGTACCCCCAAATTCCTAGTGTCTTTTTCATTCCCGAAATCTTATGATTTTAGAACGGATTGTATATCCAATTGCCTATAAAATTTATGAAATCCTTCAAATTTAATATGGTGAATAAAGGGTATTTACTTCTCGAATTTGGGAAACTTCATAGTTGTTTTACATTTTTATACGTTTCAATCATAATTCATGATTAATATCTAACATTTTTAACATATTTATATGCGAAATAAAATTCTTTGTCTGATGAATATTTTTCACAGTTTATAGTCGTAAGAAATTTAAAGTAAAATGTTTGGTTTTCAGGTAGGTAAGCTTATTTCTTGTTTGTTTTCAATTTTTCCACAAATTTTACTTATACCTGTCTTCGAGATATTAAGAATAGTCTAGATTTTGCACAGAGTTAAACAAAATTGTCGTTTTCCCTAAGCTGGCTTTAAATTTTCCGAATTTCCATAAGTCTGACAATTGTGCGTTCCTTTCTAAGTCTGACGCTAAATTTTCCGAGTATTTTCCAAGTATTGGCAAATTTCCCTAGGTCAGACAATCCTGTTCTATTTCCTAGGATGACTCTAAATTTTCCGAGTACAGACGAATTCTTCCTGGGTCTGACAATCCTACGTCTTTTTTCCTAGACTTGCTCTAAATTTTCCGAATATGGGCAAATTTCCCTAGGTCAGACATTCCTATTTTTTTTCCTAAACTGGCTCTAAATTTTCCGAGTATGGGCAAATTTCCTCAGGTCTGACAATCTTGCGTTCTATTTCCTCAACTGGCTCCAAATTTTCCGAGTATGGCCAAATTTCCTTAGGTCTGACAATCCCGCGTTCTTTTTCCTCTACTGGCTCTAAATTTTCCGAGTATGGGCAAATTTCCCTAGGTCTGACAATCCCGCGTTCAACTATTAATGCATTTCTTTTTATAAACTCGTTAATATTCGACTTCGGCCGCATGTTTCCGTGTTTTCCGGAATGTTGCAGACACACGTTCACGTCTGAACAACAGAGAACAGACTGAACATAACAATGTTTCTGGCATTCTAGTTTCGTATTAATATTCCTCTGTATGGGGTATTGGTCTCTCTCACGGTTGGCCTTTAGCTCTTACATAAAAATTTTATCTCGGTTTACGGCCGTACGCATTTTTGTCACGTGTCCAAACGTTAGTTTACAACGCGTTAGGAAAAATTATGATACTAGATTTTCACTGTTCGATCGATAGGAACTTATTATTAAGCGAGTGCACAAATACGGAGTTCGAAACGTTTTCGCGTTATGATAATTTTGACACATTATTCAGTGACTAATTATTTTATTACCTTTTTTGTTGTAATTGATTATAATTGTATAGGTATTGTCATATAAGCTACCCTGCAAGGTCTTGAAGGATTTTTCAAATTTCCCACCGCAAGTTAATCATGATCACCGAGATTGCTTTTCCACAGGTATGATAACTAAAATATACCTAAATATATATATTAATAACCTGGGGTATGTAGAAAAAGAAAACAAAAATTCGAATATAAAACTCATTAACAAATCCATTGAAAACACATTTTTTTAACTTCTACAGCTTAAAATTAAGTTTGAAAGTTTAACACTTTTATTAGGGTACAATTTATGCACCTCTGAAGATGCTTTTTCTAGTAAATTAAATTCTGAAACTTTTATAACAAGTTGCATTTTAATTTTAATGAAAAAAAGTTTCTTGGTTTATAATTTATATATTCCAAAAAATAAATAATTATATCAGAATGCATCGGCTACTTTCAGTACCTATATAAACAATGATTTTGTTTNTATTAATTTACAGAGCTCGTATGAACCCAAATAAACGGTTAAAGCATTGTAATAGCAATTAGACTTCGGAATACCTTTTATACCTACATTGTATAATAAGGTCTGGTAGACCTGCTAGCTACCTGTATGAAATGTAGCCAAGAATTCATACAATACAATAGCCTTTTATATTACTCAGCATTTTTATAATCTTACCTGGCAGCCAGAAGAAGCAATACAATACTTACAAAACAGTTTTCGAATTTCTATGTAGTAATAGAAAATGAAGCATCTTTGGGATAATAATAATTTCTGACTTAAACTGCATAAAGAGAAAGAACTGAATTTGTCGTTATTGGATGAATTTTTAATTAAATTAACGAGCATGTAAAACAAACACTGTTGATATATTGTAGTGGCTTTTACTTAAATAACAGTATCGAACTTATTATAAATCTGTTCATTTTCGTACTCAGGCAGATGTAACTAGTAATATTTATTGTTGCAATTGAGAATGGAGAACAAAAAATGGTATAATTTTAAGGGCTGCAGTTACTTATTAAAACAGTGTAAACTCTATTGTTTTCATTATAGATATATGTAGAAATACAGACCAAACGTATAAAAAACCATCGGACTACTGCAAGTGCTCGATGATTGCTGTTGTGAGTCCGATATCTCACTTTCACAAACAAAAAAAATTATGTTATTAACTGAACAATTGTCATGAAGAAGTTTTGTCAATAACTGTATTTCCACCGACGTCGAGGAAAATTGTATTTTCCAAAAAAGATTCTAACATCAATTTCTGTAGACTGTTAGGATAAATCAACTCGACTAAAGTGGAAACAAAAATATTGTAACTTTTTTTTTCCTTAATTTATATGTATTTTATTTATTCTTTACTAAATTTTGGTGGCGATCTACGATATAGGGAGTTTTCGTTTTAGAGATTGTATAAAGCGTAAAGAAGACGCCGTTGTTTAAACAATGCCTGTTATATATAGGAAGTCTTTCATTCGCTTTTCGCTGTTTCTGTTATCTGAATTGATACTTGCTGCAATATGAATGAACATTAGTTTGTGTTACATAGTGCTTGTTTACTTGTACTTACTGTTAAATAAATAAGTCTCCATTTATTTTTGATAATTTCATAGTGAGTATCTATAAATAACATGTCCATCTATTTGTACAGCCAATACCCAAGTTTAAAATTTTGTTTCGTTACCTTATCTAATGAAAATGTAGGCCTGCTTTACTTACAAATACCTTTATATTATTATTGGGTAAATGTCTAGATGATGGCTCCCACCCCCGAAGGGTGTGGGTGGGATCGAAAGAGGAGATCTCCCCCACCACTGTACCATAAAAAGTTATGGGGGTTAGATGATGCCCTCCCCAACCCCTTCGGGGATAGGGGTAGGGGGGATCGAAAGTGGGTGGTCACCTTATTAAAACCCCATAAAAANGAAATGTATAAAAATTGGCATATTTATTAACATTGAACCCCCATAACTTTTTATGGGGGTGAGACCGCCACGAATTTTTTATGGTACAGTGGTGGGGAGACCTCCTCTTTCGATTCCCCCCACCCCATCATCTAGACATTTACCTATTATTGTACTAGCCGTTGTCTATTACTTTTTAATGTTTTTATTATTGCCTTTTGTCCCTATGCGTTATTAACCAATAATATCCGTTTTTTATTTCCTTATAAAATTACGAATAAAAATAGTACCTATTACAATGTCTAACAAATAATACCGTAATAATTTGTTAAGTTGATATTTATTTAAATTATCCAATTACTGCACTGTTTGTGCCTTATTGCTACTAGGAAAGACAACAATTGCAGTTGTTATTTTCTGAAGTTATGTATTACAATTCAAACTTTTTCTGAACGTGACTTTAATTCGAAAGATAAAAACATTTGTAGGTAACTATTGTCTGAGCAATGAATAAAGTATAAAGACAATAAAATATTTAATTCCTAGTTAATTATTAAGGTAATTGTTAGATTATACTGCAAAAAATATTAGAAAACATCCAAAATTCTGTTTAAACGAAAGCATCCTGGATATCGAAAGTATTAGATAAAGGTGCAGTTCCATCTTTTAGACGTTTTAAGAGTCAGTTAATTCCAGAATGCTATGTCATCAGAGAAGATAGCTGCATCGACATTCATTACAAATATATGTTAGAATAAGCTACACATAATGCACCTACATAAATGTGTGAATAAGTGAAATAACGAAATTTTATTAATTTACAGAGCTACAGGGGACGTAAGCCAAGTGGACCAGTTACCTTACCCCCGAATAACGCACAAGAAGTCAATCCACCCCCTCCACCCTCGAGGCCTAGCCCTCAGCCGGTCCATATGCTAAAACCTGAACAACCACCTCAATCACAACCGATGGTAAGTATAAAATAAACGAATTTTTTAGAAAATATCACACAAAAATCACATTGTAAACGTGTATGAAAACTTACACTAAAGGTTAAGTAATTAATATATTTTTTAAAGAATTATATGTGTAAAAGCGATCAAGGGAGGATATTTGTAATTAAAAAACTAATAAAAAGAAACACTTGGTTAATTTTTTTCTCAATTTGTGATACAAGATAGGTAGGGTTGGAATTTACTGAACTGAAGAAGGTAAGTCTAATTGAACGGGTCCAACTAGTGAACTTTTCAATCAACATTCATATCCAATAACTCACTATCACCTACTTTAATACGCTCAAATCAGTAACACATTAATATGAACAAACGATTAAAGAAAGTATCATATCCCAGTGTTATATTTAGCATCACAAGGTCGCTTTTAAAATAATTTCATCGTCGTAATAAAAAATATTTTCAAAATTCAAGGAAGGTAAGTAAAAGTATCGAAAACCAATATAAGGGTGTTCCAAGAAATAGCGTCAAGCAGATCAAAAATAGAAGGTCCTTAAGGGAAATATGAAATAATCCCATGTGTGTTCATAATTTTATAGTTTCAAAATTGATAATTTTACCTTCAATGTTGTGTTTTTTGTTGTTTTTAGTTAATATTCCGATTTCGTTTATATTTACCTTATTTTTAAAACTAATATGAACCTCGACCTATCACCTTCAAGGAATTAAATCCCATTGTATATATATCGTAATACAAAACAATTTTTTAGTATCATTTTCATCCCTGATAAACCTGAATAACCAATCTGAACTTCTAACAATATGATATTTATTTATTTACAACAAATGTCAGCGTTTCGCCCCTTAGTTTGGGGCTTTTTCAGGGATAATTGTAAAGTTATTTTTCATAGTCATAAGTGGAATACAGGTTTCTTATGCACATTTACAGTATTAAAAATAAGTAAACTAGACAATGAATGTTGTACTTTTGGTTGCTTGATTTTAACGTGTTTAGTGTTGTAATTTATCTATTTTTAATAACGTCAAATTTGCATAAAAAAATCTATTCCACTTAATTACGATTAATAAGAAGGTAGTTTGCAAGTCTCAAGATAAATAACGTCACAATTACTCTTGTAGAAGCCCCCAACTTAAGGGTTTTATTGTAAATAAATAAATATCTTTATTACCTCAAGCAGTTCAGATTGGTTGTTCTCTTTGATGTTACATTAACGTAGTAATTATATGCAATTCTTAATAATAATATAAAATTAATGTTGAAAGTTAAATAATATAATAATATGTTGTATTCGTAATTCAAGTAAAACGGAGTAACTAGACAGTCAATAATAGTAAACATTGACTGTAACTTGTAACGTATTACCACATTCTCTATTATCAGTCATTATCAATAAAATAAACAAGAAATATTAAAACCTTACGAATCACATAAAAGATTTATCAGCCGTTTGATAACGAAATGGAATAACATAACACATAGAAAAGTTCATTTTTGTATTGAAAGAAAGATTTAGTCAGTAGTTTTTCGGAGAAGTTCGATTTCTCACATAAATATGAAAATTAATACATTTATTCAATAAGTAAAAAAATTCAACCGTATTTTGATTGACTCTTATATTAAAAAAAAAAGATCCTTCTTCTGGGATATAAACAAAGGATTTTTAGAGAATTGTCTCTTTTACTCACTACGAAACTACAAGTTTTTATATACCAATTACAAATAATTGGATAAATTTGTTCTTAAGTCTTGGATCAGGATCAGATTAAAACTAAAGTTTCTAATTTTCTGGGTTAAATAAACACTTTGCGTAGAATGACAGTAAATACTGGCCTTATTATCGAAATAAAAATAAATTTTTCTATCTCTCTGAAACAGTACCTTTTTCTGGATATAAGTTACCCTACGTCCTTTTCTGTATCCCTGACAATGTGTGCACAAAAATTCATAATGATTAGTTGAGTAATTAAGGTGTGAAATGGTAATAAACAAACTCACATTCGCATTTATTATATCAGTTAAGATTTCTAATTGCCCTAAATAAAAACAATTGTTGGGACCGATAAATAATTAACAAAAGTACCCTAACAATTTTTGTCACTTTTTCTTCATGTTTGTGAAGTTTCATTGTAATCAGTTCATTCGTTTTCAATATTAGTCTGTACACAGAGGCAGACAGACAATTAGACAATAAAAATGGACAGACAGACACACGAATGATCCTATAAGGATTCTGTTTTTCATTCATTTCATACGGAACCCTAAACCGAGAACCAATATAACATTGTAGTTAAAAAAAACAAGAACAATTTTTATTTATTTTTTCAAAATCTTAGGTTCACTAGTTTTTTAACAAAAAAAACAAAT